TCTTTATATGTAGTTTGCCCGGTCGGGTCTTAATCGGGAAACACTCAGTGATTTGTAGGTATGCTCGTATACGTGGGGTACCATCTGATAAGATTCCACACCACGTCGAAGACCTCGTGAAGATATTGAGGCTTGAGTGAGTTGTCCTGGATGTATTTCATGCTAGGAGTCTTCAGGCACTACATCGACAAGGAGGCAGTGAAGCTCTCCGGAGGCAATCAGAGGAAGCTGTGCGCTGGTATAGCGCTCGTGGGCCATCCATCTATTGTATTCTTGGACGAGCCCACGACTGGGGTCGATCCCGAAGCTCGGAGGTAGCGCCAGCAGTTGTTCGAAAATGCTGTATCGCTCCGTCTCAGGCGTATCTGGGATATGATCCACAAGATAGCACATGATCGCCATAAGACGTCTGCGGTCATACTCACAACTCACAGTATGGAAGAGGCAGATGCTCTATGCGAGACCATGGTCATCCAGGTATCACTCCGATGAATCTGATTACGAGCCTCTTCACGTCGTTGTGGGATGATATTATTTCCTTCAGGCGAATGGACAATTCCGCTGTCTAGGAACATCCCAGCAGATCAAGTCAGACTACGGCCGTAACTACAGGCTGTGGATACACTTTCGTGAAGCCTCTGACGATGAGAAGGAGCAGAGTTTGCAGCAACTCCTAGCATATGACGACATCACAATGGCTACTATTCGTGATGGCTATGTTACTCTTTCGGACACTGACTTAGAATCTCGACTCTCGAAGTTGGGTGAGTTATAGCTTAGAGTAAATCAGATTGATCTGATCAGTGATGTCCACTTGTTTTAGGCATCGAGGGCTGTCGTTTAGTGGATAGCGTGCTCACTGCTGGAACTCTGGACGGAACACTCAACCGTACCTTCAATCGGGGTGCTCTGGCATCTGCCGTCGTCCGAGCTCTTCAGCATATGAAGGCCCTGAGATGGCTCATGATCAATGTATCCTCCGAGTGTCAAACCTTGGAGGAAGTTGGCGAATTTGCGCTTCCGCGCGATCTCGACTTGGGATTCATCTTTTCGAAGCTTTCGCCTGCACACGTCCAGGCAGAGCTAGAAATGCATGATTTCCAGCTCTCCCAGACGACGCTCGAGCAGATCTTTAACAGGATCGCCCATGACGAAGCTCATCCTATCCAGAGGGAACTATAGATTCCCTACGTCGAACACTTCAGTGCTGTTCCAGACTATCACTTGCTTCATTCTCATTGTCTCGTGTTTCTCACTAGTGTTATAGAATGTAATCAGGTTGCATTCGTGCGAAGTGAAGCAGGTCTGTTGGCCTTTCTCGTGAGCCTCACGACG